TAGTGTTTTAGATGAGACGTTACAGCTTCACATTTATTTGCTTGTTTATAGAACTTTTATATTCTTTCGAAGCACAGAAAGAATGTGTAAGAATTGTGATTATTTATCATAGCTATAAGAAGTGGGCCTGCTGGTGATGGACATCTCAAAACCCAGCTGTGCAGAGCCCTTACCTGAAAGAGGATAGGGGATTTCTGGACAAGATCTGTCCCCTCTGCCATGTGGCATGTGTTTAGCAGCAGCTCTGTTCCCTGTCTGGGCTCTTGTGGTCTGCCAGGAGGAACTGGGACAAGCACTGCTGAAATCGCTAACGTCGCCGTTCCGACTTGGCAGTAAAGAGCCCCCGAGAAAGTTCCTGGATGCTGGCACCATGTGCCTGCACTGTTAAATTCACGGCTTGAGCAGGAAGTTAGCACAGGCCAGGGAACATTTCCAGTGGGGCGGGATGTGCGAGGTCCTCTTGTGCTGGCGTTCTTTCCTCCAGGGCAGTCGTCCAGCCTGCCCTGCGTCCCTGCTTAATCCGCTCCCTTCCCCTCCTCATCGCAGGCTTTGCCAAGCAGTAGTGCCATGCCATGAAATCTCCTGGTCCTGGGGGCTGCAGAAGCTGGAGAGAAGCTGTGGAAGAGGGGAAGAATGGAGGAGGATGGAGATGGCAGCCTACAGGAGATTCACGGAGCTGGGGTAGTCCTGCCAGTGCCCTGGTCAATGCAAAATCTTTGAATGGCATGAAAAGCTGGGATGAAAGCCAGCACCTCGCCACAGGCCGGGGTGGCCGCCCTGCCAGGCTGCTCTGGAGGTTTGGCATGGAGCCCTGTGCACCCAGGAGCCCTGGGCCCCAGGGGAGCAGCCTGGCCCGGAGGAAGGCAGAGCGAGCCTGGGCAGGGTGCTTTGCACACTGTGGCTTTCGGAACTGGCTGGTCGGGTGGCACACACACAGACAGGGGGTCTGTACCGCGTCTGGAGTCCTGGGGTGAGATGAGAACCACCAGTTCCTCAGCTGGGACATGCTCAGGGTAAAGCAAGAAGAAATGACCTTGAAGAGCAGCTCTTGCAGCCACTGCTCTCTGGTTTTCTCTGGAGCATGTACGAGGTTGTTCTTCCATAGAGAGCATGTATGTGTGCTGCAGAAGCCCGTTCAAGGCAGTAGCATACCAACAGCATTCTCCGTGCTAAACTGTTACTGGGTCTTGGTCACAGACCAGTGGTATAACCAATGGGAACCCTACCATGCCACAACTTGCATGGAGGCAGCTTTGCCGAGGGAAGGTGACAGAAGAGGTTGAGGGGTCTTTGACCCAAGGCTTAGAGGAGTTCCTGAGGTCCATGGATCCTCCTTGGAAAGATCTAGGTGCAGAGGTGAGGTGAGAGGCAGCTTGGCCCCCTCAACACCTTCTCAGAGGGGACATGGGACTGGAGAGGGAAGGGGAGCTTCTTCAAACCCCATTGTGCTCAGCCAGTCCTGTCCTCCTGGGCAGGTCTATCCTATGGCTTCCTCTGTCAGGCAGCTCCACCACCGCCACCCCTAGTGCCAGACACCTTATTTCTCTTCCTTTCCTCTCCCGAGCTTTCATGGTCAATCAGTGTTTCTTTCTGCCCCCTGCATTTCTCTGTTCCCCAGCATATTTATGTTAAAATTTGTAAGGGTTTTTCTTCAGGGCTTTTCAAGGCTTATTTCTGATGGCATTTGAGATGGAATCTGACTTGTGATCCTCTGGTGTGCTGGTGATTAGGTAAGGCTGGTGTGGGTGTGGAGGTCATGGTGGAGTGGGGGAGACCAGCCAGGAACCTCGGTTAGGAGAGCACTCTGTACGTGAGGTCACTGTTTCAGGGGAGGAGACAGAAAGCAGCCTCTGAAATCAGTCTTCTTCATGACATGCAGAGTGTCGTGGTTTAACCCCAGCCAGCAACTAAGCACCACGCAGCTGCTCACTCACTCCCCGCCCCAACCCAGTGGGATGGGGGAGAAAATTGGGAAAAGAAGTAAAACTCGTGGGTTGAGATAAGAACAGTTAAATAGAACAGAAAAGAAGAAACTAATAATGATAATGATAACACTAATAAAATGACAACAGTAGTAATAAAAGGATTGGAATGTACAAATGATGTGCAGTGCAATTGCTCACCACTCACCGACCAACACCCAGCGAGTCCCCGAGCGAGCAGCAATTCCCCCCACCCCACTCCCCCCAGTTTCTATACTAGATGTGACATCCCATGGTATGGAATAACCCATTGGCCAGTTTGGGTCGGCTGCCCTGGCTGTGTCCTGGACCAACTTCTTGTGCCCCTCCAGCTTTCTTGCTGGCTGGGCTTGAGAAGCTGAAAAATCCTTGACTTTAGACTAAACACTACTTAGCAACAACTGAAAACACCAGTGTTATCAACATTCTTTGCATACTGAACTCAAAACATAGCACCGTACCAGCTGCTAGGAAGACAATTAACTCTATCCCAGCTGAAACCAAGACAAGAGGAATAGAGTAGAGAGACATCATGGAAAAAATATGCAACTAGAGAAACAATGGGATGGGGCAGATACCTGTGAGTAGCATGGTGGGTTTTCAGGTGAGAGATTGTGACTGCAGACCATGCATCCTCCCATAGAAGGTACCTGTCTGTGAAGAATGGAGTCGATATCTTTGGTGAACCTTCCCTGGTGGTTCACTAAGGCTTCTGAGATGTAGTAGGCTTCATGGCTTTACTTATTGAGTCTCTCCCAGGACACTGAATAGGGACATGAATTGTGCCCCTGTACATTTTGGGAGACCACATGGAAATGTTGCCAGAATGGACCAGTCATGTCAAGGAGTTTGGACTTGGCACCTGTAGACTTGCACAGCTGAAATGGTCACCCACAGGTTGGTAAGAGGTATCGTGACACCAGCCCTCCCCTCCACCAGGATTGGCTCAGGAATCGCACTCTCCCCTGCTCAATGTCCTCTGCATGTAAATAGACTCTGAACGCAGGCAGCCTTGATGCTGTTTGAGAAGGGAGTGTGCCAGTAGCTGTGGTGGGAATGGACACTGATGCAGACCAGTGGTATGTAGGCTTTACAGGTTTAGTGGCAGTTGTTGCAAGGACTTCTCAGCACAACCGAATGTGCTCTTAAGTGTGCATCCTGCTAGAAAACACTCTGCCAGTGCTACGGGACTCCTGTCCCTGGCCAGCACTGTGTGACTCAGGAGCGCGTGTATCACGGCACCATGCACGGAGGTTTGATTTATAGCCCTGGTTCCTAGAGTTTCGCCTTGGCACAGCAGTGAATATCGGTTCCCAGGGAGAGAGTGTGTGTTGGTGGAGTGATTGTGTGATGAAGCCGTCCTGGTTGCAGGTTCTGAGGAGCAGCATTAGTCATGACAGCAAGGTCAGTCACGCCAGCGTTCTTCTTTGAAGCACATTAATTGCAATCACATGGAGGTGGCTTTGGCATGGTTAAGGTATGCAGAATCACCCAGTCCCACCAACTTCAGCTGGAGGCACCAGGATGGGGGTCTCCACCCTAACACTGCTCCCAGCAGGTCCAACACTGCATCTGGAGCAATTTGTTTGGGGCTGTGTCCAGGTGAGTCGGGGCAGTCCCCGGGAATGGAGACCCCCTTTAGTGGACCACATTAGTGACCCTGCGCAGGACTTTATTCAGTTGGTTGTTGTCTTCCTTGTACTGGGGGGCACAACAAACTGCACAGTGTGTCCAGACGTGGCCTCACTTGAGGGGGCAATACCTTCCCTTGATGTGCTGGATGCTCTCACACCAGGCTGGTTGGCCTTCATTGCTGTGACTCCCAGCCAGCTTGGTACGCACGAGTCTGCAGACACCTCTCGCATACAAAGCCTTGCATGAAGAGCTGCCCCCTCCAGCCCATCCCAGCCTGCCCCACACATGGGGCTGGTCTGTCCTGGTGCAGGACTTCTGCTGAAGTCCTTCTGAAGATACCACTCAGCACCTGGCCTGCTGCCTGTGGGAAATGCCATGGTGGATAGAGCCATCAGCTGCTCCTTTCTTCATACAAGATGTTCCTCATGGTGGCTGAATTTTGCATAAAATGAAGCACTTTGGTTGGTGTTCTTTTACCTCTCAATATCAAATCTCCAAACAAGCCCAACAGAGCATGCAGTTTCACATACAGGTGGGAGACTGCTGTAATTTTGTCTTTGCATGTCCTGCTCCAGCTCGCAGAAGCATTGGCTGTCCATTCAGTAGTAGGAAGAGAGACGTGACGGCTAACTCCACAATTAGACTGTTGTATTTCTCTTTGGCATGAAATAAAATAGTATTTGAATGCACAGTGGGGCTAATGCTACTTTGTGCAGCTTTTTATGAAGATTATAAAATTGAGGCAAAAAGCAGATCTTACTGTAATTAGAAGATAGAAGAGTTGATCGTAGGGAGGAATGGATTAATACTTGCTCTGAAATTTTCTAAACTGCTTTAAAATACCTTCAGCTGAAGGAGCTGAACTTCACTATGAACCCTTTGTGTGCTGAAGTGCAGAGGTTTCTTCATCCTTTTGAATTGCAACATGGAAGTTGCAGGGCTATTTTCCCCAGACATTCAAGAGTCCCTGTGTTCGTTTTGTTGATATGTGAAGTCATTTGGGTTTTTGCAGAGTCATACAATCATTTACTTGATGTGCTAGAGGCAACCCAAACCTCTTATTCCCATTTATTCACCCTTTGAGAAAACATTCGGAAAAAAGTCACCTGTCATTGAAGTTCCAAGTCAGAGGCAACTAGCAGAAAACTGGGAGATAAACCACCAACAGATGGGGGAGGGTTGCATGTGAAGGATGTACTGTACATAATGTGCCATTAAAACTTCATGAAGAGGTGTCCCAGAAAAAATTTTACAAAGCACTAGGCTTAATATTAAATTCTTAGTTTTAGCGGTCTGGTCATTTTCAGGAAGGAATAATCAGCTTAACCACAGCATTCACATATTTAATGTTCTGAGAGAAGAGGGATTGTCTGATTTTTTTTTTTTTTTTTTTTTTTTCCCCAGTAATTAATGGAAGTCAAAGGCAGCAACTGGAATCTGCGAGTTACTCCTCCCGCTACGCTCTGGGACTTTTTTATGAAGCCGGTACACAGATTGATGTCCCTTGGGCCGCACAGTACATCACCGATAATCCCTGCATACGCTTCATCTCCATCGATAATAAGAAACGCAATATAGGTCAGTGCTCCCATTATTTCCCTTAAACACAGTGACAATAGAGGGTGTAGGTCATGAAAAATGCTGTTTAATTGAGTGTTGCTATTCTGAACAGAGCAAGTATTTAACTCCAAGCCGCAGTGGATAGCATTTAATGTCACATTTGGCCTGTAATAAAATACACAATGAAAGTGGGAAGGTCCTCAGAAAATCACCACCCAGCACACGGTTTACGTTACTGCATTTATGAAACCAGTGTCAGGGGATTTGAGACATCAAAATGTTGCTATTCCAAGAAAGAGCTGGAGTTCCTTTGTTTAATCATTGATTCATACACATGCCAATTTATCTCCCATCATCCATTACTTTACAACTCCTGTTCTTTCCACTAAGCATGCTTGGAAGTAGTAATGAGTTATATAATTGAGGCTGTTCTAGTTAATTCAGAGTTAGCCAGTGTGCTTTTATAATCATGGAAAATTCTTGAAATGGCTGCACATAGTATGGCTGCTTGGTAAAGCCTGGAGAATGTCCCATAAGGCAGACTTTTCTCATCTGTTTCTGGAAGATGGCAGTTGAGTAAGTATATGTTTTATTTATTAAATTTATTTCATATACTAAGAGTGTGTTGGCATAGAATAGCTCAAGAAAAAACCGCTAGCATTTGAGTTTAATCAAGTTCATTAGGAGCTGAAAACACTTCCCAATTCTGTTACTTGTTCACATTGTGACGATGACCAGGTTTAACCACATCTATGAAGTGGGGGTAAAAACCTACCCACCTTTATGGTGACCTACAAAGCACTGTGACTCACTGTCAGAGAATAAGGAAGGATTTTCATAAGCAGCTGCTGCCTAATACGTAATTATTAAGTATTACCAAATTTGCTGCGCTAAAACATGTTCAGATTTAGACCTGGGAGACTTCTGTTTCTAGTCTTCCTTGTTCAATCGGGATTCATTGCTTCCTGCCTGCAGTCTGCAGACATCAGTGACGTTAGTACCTGCTGGGCAGGGCATTGAAAACCTTGCCTGTCACCCTTACATCTACACACCATCACCATGCTAGAAAACAGCCGTAAGGTTGGGCATGTCTTCCCTCTCTTACACTGTAAACATGCAATTTAATGTAATAAGCTATCACAAGGGAGTGTCACAGTATAACAGTGGTGCTGGTGGCCACGACCTCTGAAGATCTCTGCTCCAGCTCCCACTCCCAGCAGGCTGTGCTAACACAAGGTCGGGGCAGCCGTGCCTTGTCTAGCTGAGGTTTTTAAAAAAAACAGGATGGAGATCCCCCACATCACTGGTGACCTGTCCCAGGGCTGCACCTCCACTGGGGTAAGAAGTGTTTCTTTATCTGCAGTCTGAACTTCCCGAGGCTCAGCCTGTGGATGTTGCCTCCTGTTCCATTGTCTGCCTCTACCAATAAAAGTCACGGTCATTCAGGTTGGAAGGGACCACTGGAGGCTGGCTGGTCCTACCCCCACACAAGGTTTGAATTTAGATCCAGCTACAAAGTTAGATCATGTTGCTCAAGGCCCTGATGTGGTGTGATTTGCCACCTTTGCACTTCTGGCTTATATTCAATGGTGGATCCACCATAACCAGCGGGATCTTTTCAGAAAGGTCTGTTGCTCAGCCAAAGTGATGCATGGGGTTGTCCTGTGTCAGACATGGGACCTTGCACTCCTCCTTGTTGTGGTGATAGTACAGTTCAAGTCAGCTCTTCCAAATATGCCCTTCTTTGCACCAAAGCCAACTGGGTAGCAATGGCTCTTGAAGTGCCTCCAGAAACAGCAGTTTATGCTGGGAGCAAAGAAGTTGGAGAGATGAATCAACTCACCACTGTAGAAGCCCAATTTTGTTATTTGTCCTAAGAATTTAGCCTGTTGGCCTGAAAATAGGGAAAATAAAACAAAAGAATGGCTGAACTGGCCAAAACAAAGATGCATCCACCCTGATACGCTTCCTCCAGCAGGGACCAATAATGAATATTTAAAAAAAAGAGAGTAAGGAAAGCCAAATTCAGAGTGGTGGTTTTTTTCCTCTGGCATTGTCTCCTTGTTACTGACAATGTGCAGCTGGAGATTTTCTTGTATCTGAGATTATATCACCATCGTTGTGTTTAATAATAAGTACTTGATAGTTAATAGCACCTACTGGTATTGTCCATCCCATTTGCCTGATTCTAGCTGTGCAGAAGAGGACACAGCCCAAGGGAGAAGTTCACCCATCCTTTCCTCACCTGTTTGCATATGTGGTCTCAAAGCACTGGCACTGAGAACAATGAATATGGAATTATAATGGAATTATCAAATAGCTAAGTATAGTGTCTTTGCTGTCTCCAAATGCAATTTAACCAGATAGTAAGCATACTATTTGGGGCATATTGTTAACAAATACATAGAAATTACCAGAACATCAGTGTTGACACATACCTTTCTCACTGAAATTTCCCTCGTATTGTGGAAGAGATCTCTTTATATGAGCAAATTTTTCCAAGAAGTACAAATTGTATACCTTCATAGGGCTGGAACAAGCTGGGGGCAAGCAAGTGAAGATGATTTGTCTCCGGTAGGGCCCTCCTTGTGACATATAAACAATCAACCAGCCGCCTTGACTGTGCTGTCTTTCCTGGTGAATTTGCATTTTGCAGATTTGCACTTTGTTCCAGGAAAAGTAGTACTAGGGAGAGAGCAGTACGTGTTAGCTGGAACAGTATTTCTGGCTGCAAGCGCTCAAGCTGAGCACAGGAGTGTTGGAAAGCATGCCTGCATCGTGTTCAGTAATGCTGACATACAGAAGTATAAAAATCAAAAGTGGTCACCAAGCGATTCACTTTTCTTCAAACATGTGCACAGCTCCGCTGATAATAGAGACGCGCACACACATACATAAAGACAACATGGGCAAGGGGGGCTGAAATTTATTTATGTATAGGGAGTACTGCAGCCAAACCACTTGAATATAAAGTTCCTTTGTTTGTTTTAGCACATATGCAAGTATTTTGCATTTGTATTTTTCATTCCGTGCTTCTGACTGACCTCCAGAACATTTCAATGGGAGGCACGGCAGCACCTTGCTGTCCCTTGTTTGCTGGTTTTTTGTGGTGCCAATGCTGATGTTTTAACACCATGCTCCACTCACTCATCGTTCTTCCCATTTGTTATGGGTTTGTGTGGTGTGGGGGTTTTTTGGTAGCAGGGGAGGAGGGGCTGCAGGGGTGGCTCCTGTGAGAAGTTGCTCGAAGCTTCCCTGGCTCCAAGTCGGACCCACCACTGGCCCAGGCCGAGGCCATCAGTGATGGTGGTAGCGCCTCTGGGAGAACAGATTTAAGAAGGGGAACCAGCAGTGAGTAGGGGGATTGGAATGTGAGAGGAACCCCTCTGCAGATACCGAGGTCAGTGAGGAAGGAGGAGGAGGAGGAGCGCCGGAGGAGGGGATGCCCTGCAGCCCGTGGTGAGGTGGCAGGATGTGTCCCCCCTGCATCTCATGGAGGGGAGCGGGGGAGCAGAGGCCCCCAAAGACGGCCGGGACTCCATGGGAAAGCCCGTGCTGGAGAAGTTTGTGACTGAAGATCGGCCCACGGAAAGGACCCACACCAAGGAAGTTTGTGAGGAACTGCATCCCATGGAAAGGACTCACGTTGGAAAAGTTCATGGAGGACTGTCTCCTGGGGGAGGGACCCCATGGGGGAGCAGGGGATGGGTGAGGAGTCCTCCCCCTGAGGAGGAAGGAGCGGCAGAGACCAGGTATGAGGGACTGACCCCAACGCCTGTTCCCCTGCGCCGCCGGGGGGAGGAGGTGGAGAGAACTAGGAGTGGAGCTGAGCCGGGAAGGAGGGAGGGGTGGGGGGAAGCTGTTCTAAGGTTTGGGTTTACTTCCTAATATCCCTTGTTTTGTTTTGATTTGTAGTAAATTAAATTGATTTTGTTTCTTCCCCAAGTTGAGGCTGTCTTTTGCCCGTGACCATAAGTGGTGAGTGATCCCTCACTGTCCTTGTCTCAACCCATGAGCCTGCCTTCATATCTTCTCCTTATCCCACCGTGGCCGGGGAGTGAGCGAGTGGCTGCGTGATGCTTTGTTACCAGCTGGGCTGAAACCACACCACCATTCTTATATTCTTTAACCTTGATTGATCATGATTCATTGCAAGAAGATGCTGGTGGCAATGAAGAAGTAAGCATTCAGAGAGAAAAAGCAGAAATGCTCAGGCTAAGATTTACATTGGGTCCCCTGGGTGAAGCAGCTGAGATCTTTCAGGACAGCCATCCTTCCCAAAAAGCCATCACCTTCTCCAGTTGATGCCTGAGTGGTCTCACTTCCACCGTTCCTCCTCTGTGCCATATACACTGTCTCCATATATTCAGTAGTGTGTTATTTCTCAAGTGCCTGCATGCATCCCTCCTTCTGTTGCATTAAACTTAAGAGGGAAAATTGCTTTGCTGCTCATCAGATGTGGCTGCAATGCTTATCAGAAGTACATCCTCAACACAGAGGAGTATGGCTGCAGTTCTCTAGACATAAGTAAAAGTGACTAATGGATCAGACACAAACAGAAATTGGATGTTTCTGGTGTTTCTACACCTACTTTAATGTATCCACAATTAGTGTAGGTTTATCTAACCCTCGTTACCACCTCAAATGGTTTTAGTAAACAGCATTGAACTACAGAGATCCAAAGGAAATAACTCTAGCTTTCTGCTAAGGGATTCTTTGCTAAACACATTATTACACAAAAAATAGCTACATCTATATAATGTCTGCCTAAAAGCAACTAGTCTAGCACTCACTATGAAAGTCCAAACTGTCTTTTTTGTTTGTATGAGATGTGGTAATCCCTGCTTTGACTCATTTAGTAAAGCAGAGATGTAAAACTCTCTTTCTTATGCAGGTTTCACATTTTAGCAGTGAAATACCTGAAACAGTCTTGTTGTTATAATTATACAATAGGATGGGTTTGTTAGCAGAGCTGGTGAGTTGCAGTCTGTAATTCTCCAGGAATCTCAGCCTTTGCT